GGTAATGCTGAAATTTAACATATTCGCACAGTACACTTTTCTATGTTATCATGATAGTAAATAGGATTTCGGCGACTCCTGGCCGACAGCGACTTACATTCTTACGTAGTATTTCGATCATGTGCAGATTATCACATGATCGAAATACTACAGAGATAAAATGTCACGAGAACGAGCTATAGTTTTCTTGTAGGCAGTGTAATATTATACCGCTTAACTTGTCATTTTCTTCACGGCAGTGCTGTTTTGTTCTGCTTTGAACTAACTATGCGTAATTCAAAAACAAAAAATTCTATCTGAACCGTACGTCGTATGACTTATGAGTCGGACTTTTTAAAGTTGCGTACAAGTATAACGTACTTTTCCCCCGAAACGAGTCCGTACTTCTCATCTTAGATCTCAAGCAACACCACTTTTTACCACTTTTTACCACATTCTTACCACATTCTTACCACATTCTTACCACACGAACTGTGAAAGCTCAGTACTGGGCCCATAAACCATGTGAATTCGAGGAACCATGGAACATTCTTTGAAAATCTCAGGTAAAATTGAATAGTTAGTATGTCACTCAGATCTGTAATCTATACACTCAGCTCGGAGCTTAGTCAACTCCCTACACACATTTAACATTATACACTCCAATCTAATTACCGTTAAGTTCAAGTATTTGATACTAGTAGCACGTGCGCGCGGCTCAGATCACGTACAAGTTTCATATAAAATACACTTCCTTTGGCATTGTTTTGTAAGTCTGCCCGCGCTACTATTCCGGCTGTTATCACTGGCGTGCTGAGGCGCTGGTAAAATATGTTACACTGGTAAAATATGTTACTTTACTTAATCAGCCGATAAGTTTAATGATCAGTGACTGTTTTTGTACGACGCCACCGTAGAATTTGCCACCAAAGATTCCCGGACCCACTAACACTTACAGTGTAAACTCTTGTTACCATGGAGACTTGTAAAATGAACCATACTATTAATTATTATAGCTGATCACTAACTGCAAAGGGGTCGTTCACATATTACGTAATCAATATTTGAGCAACTTTTACCCCACTCACCCCTTCCGTAATCAACCGTAATCAATACCCAACCCCCCCCCCTCCTGACAGCATCATTACGTAATCATGGCCTGACCCCCCCCCCCCCCCCCCCCTTGACTTTTTTCCTAGAAAACACTTTTATCTACGTTTCATGCTACCCTGATCATGCTATCATGATGAGCCGAGGGGGGGGGGGAACTTCGGTATTTTCTTAGGTACGTCACGTGAATTGTCAAGTGCAGACGGTAAAGTGAACGGTTTTCAGTGGTTATTTCCCTTATTTCCGTCGAAAGTTTAAGAAATACGTATGAAGGATGTTTACCTTAGTATTAATAGTTTTAAGAGATTATATTATGTGCAAATGACACGTGACATGGATCAATCAATATCAATATAGCCACATCAATCAATATCAATATAGCCACACACTGGGATATCATTAGACTTAGCTATTAAAGGGGGGGGGGAGGGTCCAATGTACGCTAAATTAGTGTACAAAAATGTAGTTGGACCCGCCCCCCCCCCCCCCCCTATTAAAATCCCAATATTTTTTACGCTAAACAGAACGGCTATGCTAGAAGCCCTAATAAATGGGTTTTATATAGAATTAAATTCTAAACGCACACTTAATTTTCAGGAGGGATCAACAATAAACAAAGACGATATATTTTTGGTCAGAAATTTGCGGAGTTCATTCGTTTTGCCATCAGTCTTGGCTGCAGTTGTATCTCTCAAAATCAGGTATTCACTATATTACTATCCTGCCTGGCTAAAACCCTGATTATTAAAACTAAAAGCCTTCTTGCATGTTCATCGTTAATTAAAAATAAATCAGATTTGTGAATAATTTACTGTCATCTCCTTGGTAATTTCATGATAGAATTTTCTCTCATTTTCATACGTAGTACCTTATTTTCTTTCCCTCAGTGACGGTTCGAGGAGACACTGCATTTCACTGCTCGGTGAAGACACGGGGATATGTTATCTCTCTCAGAGTCCACTGCACGTCGTCACAGAGCCTCAGTCCGATCAAAGCAAGCAGCAAAGATCAAAAGAGACTTTACGTCCAATGTCAAACAGATAAATTTCGACGGAAAATTCCTAGCAGACCTCGGAGGATTTAAGAAAGTGAACAGACTAGGCCCTAGTACAAGATGAGGAGAACAAGATACTCGCAATCTGTAAGACGAGTGACTCTACAGGGACTAGGACGAAGCAGACAAAGTGGAGAAGATAATCGACGACCGGAGCCTAGCAGATAAAATAATAGCCGTTGGATTTGATACGACATCATCCAATATTGGAGTTCACAAAAAAGCATGTACTATTCTTCAGCAATTTCTCAATCGACAGATTCTCTGGATGGCCTGCAGACATCAGGTCCTAGAGGCGCAGCTTGTAAGAGGATCTGCCTCCAAGCATCTGCAGAACATCGTCCTTACCGATATCCTTACTTGCTACAGGAACGACGTGTATATATAGTAGGAGACCTTCTATCCTTTATTATTCACATCCACCAACTCAACAACCAGCCCAGGAAATTACAAGGAATTCCTAGAGCTTGCTTAACTGATACATGGAGAAAGCATAGATATGAAGAAAGGATACGTCTTCTAGATACCAAGACCTGGAGCTGACCACCGTCCACCATGCCATCTGCATTAAGAAGATGGCTCTTCACTAGATTATCTAGTAGATACCATTTCACTGGACGAAGAAGAGAAACGTGTTCACTTTCTTGTCTTCGTTTACTTGAGAGCTTGGTTCAGCGCTTCTTTCCTTGAACCTGCAGCCTCCGACGACATCCGTTTCTTACAGAGTCTTCAGAAGTACAAGAGTGTGGACAGAGTATCAGCCATCACCACGATAGTCCTCAACAGGCACACATGGTACCTGACTGGAGAGCTTATCCCACTATCCTTGTTTGATGAATACCTACCTCTAGAGCGAAGAAGTCTCTTTGTAGCAAGAATAGGACAATAAACTCTTGGAGCAATTCAAGTTGGAACTTGAAAAATTGTTTGGTTGTTATTGAGCCTTATGAACGTCAATTAAGCCTAATTGATCAACATTTATTTGGATATATTTTGGTTTTATGAAACTCTTTATAATGACCAGGTGGTATGACCAAATAAGGATGTTGGTTTAATTTCTTGTACGGATTAGGGTTTTCAACATACGCTCTACACTCTAGTTTGGGTTTGGATTTTAAATAGTCACTAAGGACTACTTGAAGTACGTATGTTATGTATTAGTAAAGTGTTGAGCGATAAATCATCTTTGCATGTTTAGTATAGACCTTGTTGTGAAACTTAGTACGGTGCTCCGCAGTTCAAAGTTAGGAATCATGGTGAGCGATTTGTGTATTTCTCGTAAATCTATTTGCCAATAGTTTATACGAATGACTCCATCATGTACTGTTTGTTCTCTTTAAAGTATGTAATCAAATTATTAGAATATGAAAGTTAACTTACATACATTTTGTGATATGTCTACCACCTTTTCCCACTTGAAATTGCACTAACTTTGTGTAACTGTAAGGTTAATGTCCGCTATCTCATGTGTACACCTTTTGATTAAAAAACTGTTATCAATGGTCTATTTCAAAAGTATCATGAATCTATTACAAGTTCTTTTAGTCGAATGTGATAAGCGTCTTGAAAGTTTGCAGGAAGTCAATCCTTTAAAAGTATACTTCTTGCTTAGTAATTTCTACTATTACACGTGTGTCACGCCAAATTATAATGATATCAGTGTGTAAAGTAATCGTTGACATCACTCCGCAACTGCGCGTCTTTTGGCGCGTATCTTGCTGGAATTCATCAATTCCTGGCTAGATCGGCGAGATGCGCTACTGTGCCGCGCCGAGCTGCCATGAATTGACATCGTCAATTAACATTGTATCACGTGGTGACCCTCACTGTCGCTCCACTTCGACGCTACAGGCGACGCGGCGGGTCATACAACGTATGACAAACATAACAGGGCAGAGGTACTCAGATGCTGTGGGATACATTAGGAAGCGCCTTCGTTTCGAAATCTTAAGAACGACGGTAATTTCTCTCCGGGGAGACAGAGGGGCGAGAGACTGAAAGAACTTTGTCAATATAGACAGTTTAGATTTGAACTTGGAGCCGCAAGGCCAAGGGTGATTTTCAAAATATTGAGTTTTTGAAGGGTTATTTTTATATATAGGGTCATTGTGACATTATGTGTATACTGTTTGAAACATTTTATTATTGATTAGCTTGCCGGCCAGGTAAGCACGCTCGAGTGAACGCTACTCCTTTTTGTGTGATTAAACAATAAGCCATGTTTGTAACTTAGTTAAGTAGGTGTATGTACGTTGATTTCTTGTGAAATTGAAAGGCGTTGAGAGTACTACTGATATAATCTTGATCGATGTATTTTTGTATTTTAAACGCTGATAGTAATACTGATTGTGAATCACTCCGATCCCAGAACATGCTCGAGCTTAATTTGAGACCTCTGGGAGGGGGTACACTAGACTTTTTTACACTATTTTACACTTTTGCCTTTTTTGTGTATGGTGTAATACATAGTAAAAAGTGTGGTAAAAAATATACACTTTTTACATTATTTTACACTATTTTACACTTAACAAAATTATCCTCTAAAAATCTTCTTTCTTCCTTTTATTTTCCAATCAGTCTTCGCATAGTACATTTCCAAAGGTAAAACATACCTTTGGTGAGAAAAAAAGTTCACTTTTTTACACTTTTTAAGACTATTTTAGGCTATTTTACACTACAATTTTTTGCACTTTTTTACACTACACTTTTGCCTATTTTGATGTATGGTGTAAGAAAGTGTAGTGTACACAAGGTATAACAACACTAACAGGTAAAAAGAGATATTTAAATATTTCTACGATTTTTCCAATGAAAAGATGGTTCGATTTTAATTCATTACAATTGATGACACAAGAATCAGATAAGGGATTTCTTAAAACAGCATATTACGAATAACAAAATGCATAACAAAGTAAATAGGCAAATAGGAAACAGGCAATCTCATTTCAAAATTCAATTATCAATTTAATTTAATTGAAAGCAGTCTTTATTAGTCGGACTACTCTATTAGTAATATTACTACTATTACTACTATATAAGTATGGCAGAATAGACATAGTGTTAATCATAATATCAGTGGGAATCTTAAGTAAAGTGTTACAAATTAGGTATTAACTATTAAGGTTTATTAAATGTTAAACATTGGAAATTAACCGAAAGCACGAATAATAAGGAGGTTTCTAAATTAATTAGTTAATTAATTAACTATTTAATGTCTATTTAATAACAAATCGATAAGTTACAATTGAATCAGTAATTTTGATGTGAGTTTATCGACTTCATGTTTAATGAAAAATGTAAAATTGTTCACTATTTAAAAAATCAAAATGTCGAGCGTCGATAATCCCTCATCAAGTCATAACGATACTCTATATTAGAACTTAGCTCAAGATTATGACGTTATGGGAAATTTTATTGCAAGCAATTATATCGAAATCTTCAGTTTACAAATCTATTATAAAAATAGATCAAATGTTACCGTTACCAAAAACAGTTCATGTAACTTGTCAATCATAAAGAAAGACAAAAACTATTATTTATTAGCCATCAAAGCTGCAAATATCACAATAAATCAGCTCACAAATAAAATGTCTTTTGTTGTTTGATCATGGGTAAGTGAAAATCTCATCAAAAATTCAAACTCTCAGCAATACTGCGATTGCGGGTTCAATATCAGGTAAAAATTCCTTGATCGACGAATTGATTTCTTCGCAGTCTTCAAATCTCAAAACTCGGTCTAGTGAGGGGGACCTTGCTCGGTGTCCCGACTACACAGCGTTACTCTTGTAAGTATCAAAGATGAGGCTTCCTCGTCTGGTCAACTTGTTACGGACCGCCTGCCACGTCTTACACGACTTCGACCTGATGGAACTGTTTGAAGATTGGCGGGAGACTGGTCGCGGGGTTGCAGGCGAGGAGGGAGAGTCGAAACAAGGGTTAGAGTAGAACGTTGACTCCGGGGGAGTAAGGTGCTCGGAGTTCTTCTGTATAGCGTTAGGGTGGACTGAAATAAGGCGGAGTGTTAGTTTCCGACAGGCTAATGAATGTTGTTCATAAGTAATTGCTAAGTATGTAGGAGGCTGTAATAATATTTATGTTGAATTATTAAGACTTAAGTTATAAAAAACTCACCATGGCTATTGAAGTGAGGAGAGATGTGATAGTATCTTTGTTCTGAGAAAGTCTGATTGTTCACCGCCGAGACTATAAATCCTCCCTGAAAAGATATCGTTTAGTGATTTACTCTTTATCCTGAGAATCGAAAAAAAGACCTTCGCTGACATGAAGTTGCCATTCTTGTCCAGATAAAGTATCACATGACCTATTTGCCTGCAGTATGAGCTCATTTCGTTGCTGGCACCTTACTTCCCAGACCTATATAATCACTCAGCGTGTCCACAAATCCACCCATAATAAAATCTGGCGGAGGCTTCAAACCGCAAGTGTTACTTTGGCCCAGAATATTGTAACTTTTAACCTCATTCTCAACGATACGGAGATAGTTCTAGAAATCAAATTCCGTTAAGAAGCTGAAAGAATGTCAATGCTGGATGCGTCCTTATTTGTCGAAGCAAGATTTACCAAGATTTTTAAGACTCATATTGTAACCGTGTCACTGACCGCAAACCGGGGAGAAGAAGTTAACTCATTAGTCGAACAATCAATCATGGTGAGACTTATGCTCAGTCAGGCAATCACTTGTCTTACAAACCCCCAATGATTGAGGAAATCCGGACGTATGATCTCCAAGACGTCGCGGGCGTTGACATGGATCATTGTCTCGAGCTCATACAATTCACTCATGACAACTTCATGCTTCAGTAAAATGTGCGAATCTGACGTGTAATGTGACATCAAGCAGGCTGGATTGCCAGTACAGTATGTCTAGTTCAGTATGTTTCAGCCACTATAGGTCTGTTTTAGGTGGTTACCCAACTCCTTAGTAGATCATTCTACTCCAAATGAACTACTCCGAAAGAATTAAGGAAATTACTGTAAGTTTGAAAAAGTAACTCACTTTCAAAAGTCCAGTAGCGTATTTTCTAGCCTCTCTTCTGTCTGAAAATCCGTGGACGTTTCGATACAGCCAGTTCACAAGATTTGTTCCTGAGGTGAAAAAGTCGTTAAAAATAAAAATTAGCTGTACTTGATCTAAGCTACCTTACAAAATGCTATCACTTGACCCAAACCATTTTGATAACGTTTATCGCAGCCAACAAACGTTGATTCATGACTAACGGTATATTGACAATACCTAATTAAAACAGACAATACTCGAGCAACCAGTTCCATGGTACTAACCAGTAAAAGCATCCGGTATCTTGAGTTTCAGCCAGATCCTATCCCTGACGTCCAGTCCAGAGTTGTTCCTGCTCATCACTCTGACAACGTCTGACATCTTGTTATGGAGGGACAATCCTTGTGACTCGATATCTGAACAAAGGTCGCCGTTAGAAGAGCATTGCAATGACGGATAATTACTCATCGTGGTTGGTTATTCAACATGGCGAACAAAAGAATTTGTCATGATTTAATATATGTGTGACGACTATTCAGTTATGCAAAGTCGACATTCGTCCCGTTGTCTACTAGGTCCGTATTAATGTTAAATATCTAAATTTAATACTTTGATACAGACAATGCAGACAACAGGGTGAACGGTTTACAAGGCAACCAGACAGCAGAACAAACCTTGGCAGTCAGAGTTCTGATATGAGTTCAGCAGACAGATAGTTGATCCGTCCGGAGATACGATGAGTTCAGATGTGGTGCTGTTACATCTCGTTCTACAATCGTACACGGTCATGTTGACGATAGTTCTAAAAATAGATGGTGGGGTTAGGTCGAGAGAAAATGTATATTTCATTGATTGTTACGCTAGTCTTAAATCTAAATACAATTTATTAGGGGTTCTTGAAACACTTTTAAAAGTTGCAAAATAATAAAAGAATTGCAAGGTTCACTATAATTTTGATAGACATGGTCCGTAAAATCGCGACGTTAAAAACATGACTAAGCTAAGGACGTTTCGGGTTCTCCCTGGAGAGTTATCAAAGGCGCCTAAGTACGAGTACAAAACAACAAGACATTAAAAAGAATGTCGTATTGAGCATGCTTCATCAAGTGGATCATCGAATTTCGGCAAGATGTAATCGCAGTAATATTACATCTAATCATGCGCAGAAGATGTAATACTGACAGTGGGAAGACACGTTTGCCGGGTGAAGATCAGGTGAATAAAAAGAGTGACAGTGAGACAATGACTCCTGTAGATGTATCTGATAAAGTACTAGCAGTGGTTTTAAACTCATGATTCTCAAACCACAGCCGGATAAGAAGGACATTTTTCAGCAAGATTTAGACAGTTTCTGCCGAAAATGTGGATGCAATACCCGAAAATTTGCGGTAAATCGATAATCCGCGACGTAAATCCGGTTGGTAGTCGGCACACTAATTAGAATTTTAAAACAGAATATTTGGTTCTTAAAAGTTAGCGAGAAAGTCATGGAGAAACGAGTCTTCTACCTTCAATAGGCAATAGGGGCAAAGAAAACTTCAAATAAACTGGCTAAATAGCATGAACACTTACAACTTTTAAAATGCCATCCATTAAAGCTAATACAATCTCCTAAGTTACTTCATAAAATCAATAAAAGCTCAAATAACTGATCAATAATGGGAGACACATTACCAAAGTCTGTAACTCAGAGAGCGAACTGTGTGCCACTTAGTAAATATAGAATTATAAAGCAGTCGAGAGATTGAGAAAGTCTAACACATGTCATTAGTTAAACTGAAAGAGGATGTAACAATAAACGGTGTTGCCTGGATATCTCCAAATTGGATTGGCGGTTAGGAACAGGCCTGAAAGGAGCAGTAGGAGAGCTTATCGGGGCTGATTGTTCAGTCTCCCAGGGGTCCTCCTACATTTCCAAGCATACATCCTCCTAATAGTATATATAACACGTGTTAACGTGCCGTCAGGAAGCCTAACATTTAGGAAATTAACACGCCCTGTCGCCAGATTCTATTAAAACCGGTTTACTTTTAGGAGTTTTATTTGTCAGCGACTGTTAACAAATTACCTCCCACCTTTGCAGGCTTTTGGAAGAAGACGGAAACTAGATTTTTGTTTGATAGTTCAAACGACTGCCGGACACTTCTTAGTTTAGCAAAACATACTAACTAAAAACTAAAAACCGATAATGACCTATAGCAGGGATACCATTTTGTCGGCGACCAGCAAAAAATTACCCTCTAACTTTTAAGTCTTCTGAATCAAGCCGTGAACTGTATTTTTCTTGGAAAGTTCAAACGACTCCCGGAAAAGTTAAAGATTCAGGACGATGGAGTCGCTGATGCACACTGCATTATTTGAGAGCACTAACTAAAAACTAAAAAGCGAGAAAGATACAAAAGCAGTGCTGTAAATGTTGGGAGATATCATTGTAATTTGTCTAATCCCCATCATCAATGGGTTACTATAACAGCTGTAGAGAATCTATAACGTGGGTTCAAGAGCACCCAATTAATAGAATTACCAGAGAGCGAATCAGCGAACTATCCCCCTTACTAATCTAATCTTCCTCTAGCTAAAGTATGAACCGAGGGTCCAATCCTAATTATTTGAAAATGTTAGGGTGCGTAGTCAAGTTCAGGCTAAAGGCGCGAAATGACCTGAAGGTATAGTAAAATACAGTACAGAAAAACAATATAACGTTCAATTTTCAAACTGAGAGACAAAACTCTTAAGTGAAAACTTTGTAATGGATAGTGAATGGGCGGTAGGGTTTATATGAAAAGTGACAGGTGATATGAGTTCGTGTCGACACAAGGTAACAGTAGCTGCTTGTCGAACATATAACGAGGATCTGATTCACCAGAATATTCGAGAAAAACATAAACCACCAGATCTCCTATCATACGACACACGAGAGGGCGATATGAAGTATTTGAGATATTGACTCTCGGTGGAACCCATCAGTACGATTGTTAACGACGACACTCAATACCATGCATCACAACACCAGTATATATATATATATACACCAGTAGTAACAGACTAACTGAGGAATGGAGCAGGAATTTTATTAACAGATAATGATGATATGGAAATGGAGAGGGGAGACGTGACTTTCTGGCTTGTTATCCATGAATAACATACTAGAAAAGGCAGTACCGTGTGTTTACTAATGGATAATATTAAAAAGAGGAGCAGATGTCATGTTTTAGTAATCAAACAAGGAATGTGTTCCCGATACAGGAATGTAAATTTCAGACAGATGAGATTTGCCAGATACGGTAAATTACGAGCCCATGGTCGCACTTGAGCGGATCACTCATTGGAACAAGATGAAGATGGGAAAAAGGCCCGATGTTCCGATAATACTTCAAGTGAAATCCTAATAAAGTAATAAGCGGAGCGACTCCACAGCTGACGGAAGAATGCTGGGAGAGTCTGAGTGACCAATGCATGTCTAATGAGGGCCCTAACTGACCTCGCAGCAAGCAAACAACTCGTCTGATGAGATAAACGGTCAACCGCACAGGATATCATCACGGTGCACTTCCACCACAAGATGTTATCACGCTATCGATTGTTAGAGATATCATCCGTTAAAGAGATATCATCGGTTATAGACAACAGAGGATAATCAAGTAAACAGGAGCTAATGAGTCACAAACTCATTGTAAATACCTCATGGAATGTGTTAAGTAAAGTGCCCTCCTAAACCACAAAACTACGACTATTATTTGCGCAGTGATGACAATGGAACCATTCTGTAGGGCTGAGTTTCAATTAGGGTAAATTGCGGGCCATATTGTAAATAACATGGTGTCATCGTAACACGGTGTCATCAAAACACTTGTAGAGATTTAAACGTGTCTCTGGTTTCATTGGTCAGTTCCACAGGGAGTAACCGACCACTGAGAATATCGTTAAATAGTCACCTCTGAGGAGCAGGGAAGCAAGATAACTGTACAAACTTTTCCACAAACTCCGGAAATGAGACAAGTCTTAACCAATGGTAAACCATCTGATGAGATATCGAAGTTTGGGTAGGGTGGTAAACCACGTGGGTATGATGAGAAACCACGGTACAACGACCAATCAATCTGCCAGCCGGGGCAGCAAGATTTATACTTATTTTAATTGATAATTAATCGCCAAATCTTAGACTTCCTGCTAGCTCTAGATTTTGGTTTGTTGTCCGACGGTCCTTAGCTTTGTAGAGTGGCAACTCTAACTAGTAACCAACTAGTAACCAACTAGTAACCAACTAGTAACTAACTGGTAACTAACTGGTAACGGCATAGTGTTAGAATAGTGGCGGAAAAGTATTAAGTAATTGCATAGTGGCGATGATATTTTCACTTTGAAGGAGTTCGTCGTGACGTTTGCAAGCTTAATATCGTATCTTCAGTGACGAAGAAATAAGAATGAATTTTAAAGCTTTAGACAGAGTAATGAAAGCTGGTCCCTACTGCAACTGAACAGATTTATAAGGTCACTGCAGTGGGAGACCTAGATAAAATAGACATAATGAAACTGTCTGGACCATGTCGAAGTTTTAAAGCTCAACTGGTACTCAAATAAAATAGAATTTGATCATAAAGATCATTCCAATCCGGCCATTATCCCATTTTAAGCCTTCAATTTAAAGTCGAGCATTAGAAATTTGGAACATTCAGCACGATATAAAGCGTCCTCGACTCTACCTGAACAAAAGCAGAAACTCTCAGAGCAGCTAAAAGCGCTAATTTATACGGAAAACAATTACAGCGTAGTGTGTCGAGATTACGGCAAGCTTCCTTATTGTAATTGAATGTATATAACGTGCAGCTAACAATCTACTTATAATTTGAACTGCGAAATTTTGCTAAAATTTAGCTATCTCATTGTGCCATTTTTTATGGAGTGTGGTAATTCGAATAGGAAGAGAGTCCAAAGGGATTATACTGCTCCCGTGACTCCACGCATGTGGTTTGAGAACAGACGCATGGTGTATCGGAAAATCGGCAGAGATCGTCTAGACTCAATACGGTAAATCAAAATTTAGGCAAAATATGTCTGTGCAGCGGGCAGAAAATGAGATTTTGGGCACAAGCAAATTCGTGCTTCACCGTTGACCTGTCAAATTAACCGCGAGCCAGGGAAATGCGGTCATGAAAATTATTAAATTCCGTTAAAAACGCTAACAGTTGTCCGAGCAAAAGCAGCTACAGGATGCAGGATAATTTGCAAAATTTAAAAAAACGTCACCAGGAATGAGGGCTCGGGCACCAGATAAACAAATAAAGCAAGGCGGAAGAAATAAATCCAGATTTAAAATTGCTATGCTCTTCCACGAAACTTGTACTTGGTCCGAAAGAAAAGAATATACAGTAGATCATGATCCTCACAAGGGATGAAGCTGAGTAAAGTTTAGCGAAAAGTAGGATATAGAATAAGGTATATTAATAATTGTGTCTTGCAGCAAAGCTGCGGTCAGTGAACCTCCACAGTCTCTATTCGGTCGGTACTCTAAATTACAGCAACTCAGTGCCAACTTCACTGCACCCTATTCTGGCAAGCAATCAAGCAATACTCGTTACTTTCCAGCAAGCGAGATCTTCCCACGGAATTTTAAAAGAACCCACGAACAATAAAATAGTAAGATAAGCGTGAAGGGATGGAAATGTGCCAAATGCGGCACAATATACTCAGCGAACAACTCCCGTATCCGATATACAGGGAATAATGGAAATTGCATCGTAAATGACTGTTTGTAAATTGTAGCGTACGGCTGACGTTCCTGCAGGTAATTTCAATATGGGG